GTATAAAAGCTGCGCCATATAAATTTATTATTAGTATTATTATTATTATTAAGATGTTCTATTTGCTCCATTAATCTATTTTTTTAAAAGATGATACATAGTTCAATCGGATATTAAAGTCGTCTTACTTTACAATGGGCCTAAATTAAGGCTTTATAAACATGCAAATAACAAATCAAGCGATTATTTTTTATTGTGGTGGGGGGGGGGGGCATGGATGGACAAGAACTTTAAACAAAATCTCCTTGCTAGAAAACTAACTGATTGACATAAATATTACCCATGGTTTATGTTTGCTCAACCTTAATTCTTATGGACTTTGAGAAAAAACCTTTTCCAAGAAACTGAATGCTTATGTTTAAAGATATAGGTAACCAGGATGTCATTAACAATCATGGACATTTGCGAAAACATCCTCAGCACCATAGACCGTTGTCCTCTCATCATACACAAGGCCCGCACTATAATAATTATCATACCCCCCCCCCGCCCCCCCCCCCCCGGTCTAAAGGTCAATGTGTCCTATTACTGATTGGCACATCCTTTTCAGCCGCACATCAGGATCTTAATGATGAAGATTGTACACTAATTCCCCGGTCAGAAAAACGAGACCGACGACCAAACCGAACAAACCTAACAAAAAACCGATGACAGACCGAACAAAATACTACATTTCATGGCCAAGAATCGGTTTGTAGTCGGTTTGCCCTTGTTCAAGTTCTAGTTTCAAGTTTATTTTGTTTCACATTTCACAAAAAATAATTCACATATTTCACAAAATTAGAACATATTATTATATATACTAAAAATATCACATAATTATAATCAATTCTTTGTAAAGACGTCGAAATTAATTGTATTGAATATTAGGTTAACCAGGGTGAAATTTTTGCCGTTGAATTTTATATGAGTCATTCATAACGAGCTTCGACAGTGCCTTGTATTCATAGTCACACCAATGACTCCGACACTAGACCGAAAAAAGACTAAATCAAGCAATAAAATAACCAGGAGGGGCAGATAATGTTAAGGTCGGATCGGAGTCGGTATGGCAGACTGACCGGAGCTTCCCCACTGCGAAATTATTGTGCTCCAGTCACACTTACAAGACTGACACCAGACACACTCAAAACAGAGCGATGTCAATAATTACATAACCCTGAATGACAAGAACCAGTCGGTTCGAGAGTCAGTCGGTGCTGGGGAGTTGGTTGTTGTGTATGACTGAGGCGTTAAGAACAATTATAATAATCCAATTACAGAAGCACTCCGAGTAGATCCCTGTTGTTGCATCACCCCTGATTTAAACTCTTTATCGAAAGTTAAAGTTGGACTTTATCTGTGATGTCGTATTTTAGTACATGTCCTCGGTCAATATCTATCCCAACGATCACAAGTCAAACTTGTATTTATGTTTTGTTTCTATTCTGCTTTATGTCGCTTTTATGTTAATATTGTAGTGTAAGGACCCAAAGGAAGAACAGTAGTGTTCTATAAACATTGCTGAATTAGGCTTTCCACCGGATTTTGTCTATGTACATGGATTAATATTACATTTTGTATATTCTACTATGTATAACATTTTTGTATGATTTCGGAAAATAAAAACAACAACAAAACAATAACAACAATTCCTCTCATTGTTCTTTCTTTTTAAATGTTGACCAAGGGGCATTGTAAAGACTCACAATGCTAAACGATCTATATGCAAGCCTACTGAAAATCTATATGCACTATCACATATAGGAGGATGCAGAAGTGAGAGGATCGTATTGCAGATCCGTCTCCTGAAGTCAAGAGCAGCGATAACTTTTATGAGATCTTATCTGACGATGTAACATAATGCTTCTTTATTATCACGTTCTAATCTACTTACTACCAGCGTTAATGACGAGTTAAACACTTCATAAGAGTATCAGATTTTGGTCTTGAAATCTTGACTATATACCTATAAAAGCTTGTGTAGATATGGCGCGTTAAACCGCCACAAAAAAGTTGCCACGTTGTTGTTTTTGTTTTGGTGTAAATTAATGGCAATTGCGAGCAACAAAGGACTTGCGTGTATTTTCTGAGCTCTGTTTTACAATGGTGCATACATGCGAAGCGTGTTACACTTTACGTCATCATAAAACATATGCCATTATATACTACCATGCTTTATTTGTTAAATTCAATGCGAAAGCAAAACTTCTTAACAGTCTCCTTTGTCACTAGGGTATTAATCATTTTCTTATGTGGAAGTCAGTGGCGGATCCATAGTGCTCGCTACCCCCCCCCCCCCCCCAGTGGCGTACCTGGGGTACTCCGTCAGGGGGGGGGGGGCAAGCGACCGAAACAAACAAAAAAGGCGATGCTAATTTTAACTTCTGGCGAGCGAGCGAGCAAAAAAAAATCTTTAAGTAACGTTTGGTATATAAACTGGTATTGTTGCAAGTTGGGGGTGGAAACATTCACTTGTTAGCGACGTTAATTTTATTTTTTTGAGTGTAGCGAGCAAGAAAAAAAATCACTTCTTTTTTAATAATTGCCACTCAAACTTGGTTCAATTGTCCCATGCAGGGCGCGGGAAAAATATTGTGTTTAGGGTGATTTTATACCCATTTTAGCTAGCGAGCGAAAATACATCTTTCTCTCAATGAATTGCTATATAAAATTTGTTTCATTGTTGCAGGTAGGGGGCGGGCACAATCGTGTTTAAGGCAATGTCAATCCCATTTTGGCGGGCAGGCAACCCCCTACATTTCTCTTTTTAATGATATTGTAGCAGGTTAGTGGTGGGCACATAATTCCACGAGCTAGCGAGCGTAGCGAGCGAAAAAAAAAATCACTTCTCTTTTATAGGGAAAATATGGTACATAAAACTTAGGTTCATTGTTCCATGTCATGGACGTGATTATTAAAAGCGGTGTTATTTCTATTTTGGCGAGCGAGCAAAAAAAAATTACTTTTCTTTTATAGGGAAAATATGGTATATAAGGGTTCATTGTTCCATGTCAGGGACGTGATTATTAAAAGCGATGTTATTTCTATTTTGGCGAGCGAGCGTAGCGAGCGAGCAAAATTTTTGTAATGATAATTGGTTCATAAATTTCAGATTTTTTTGTTGCAGGGCAGGGCTTACACAATCATGTCTTAGGTGATGTAAATTCCTTTTTGGCGAGCACGAGCACACCAAAACTTCTTTGAATAACGTTTGGTACATAATTATTAACTGGTTGTTGCAGGTTGGGGCGGGCATGTTAGCGGTGTCAATTCCATTTTGGCGAGCGAGCATAGCGAGCAAGCAAAAAAAATAAATTCTCTTTTAATAGAAATTAATAAATAAACTTGTTTTTATTGGTGCAGGTCAGGATGGACGCAATCGCGTTTAACGCGATTCAATTCCTTTTTGGCGAGAGGGCGAAAAAACTCTTCCATTTGTAATGATATTGTTGCAGGTCAAGGGTGGGCACAATAATGTTTCCAAAGCAATGTCTATTCATTTTATTCGCGAGCGAGTGTAGCGAGCGAGAAAAATGAATTAGTCTCTTTTAGTAACATTTGGTACATAAATTGTGTGTTATTGTTGCCATGGTTGCAGGTCGGGGCCCGTCGGGCAGGCACAATTGTATTCTAGGCAATACTAATCCTTTTCTTTTTTTCAGGGGGACGAGCAAGTGAAAACATTTAATACAAAATAGGTTAGCAAGCAGTTCGCGCCAGCGAAGAGTTTCGAATTTGTTATATCACTTATATTTTCCTATTTTCATTTGTTTTAATTTTTCAGGGCCGTATGCGGAATATTTTTCTGGTGGGGGAGGGGGAAAGATGCGTTAAAAGATTTCGAAGAATCTCAAAAGCAAAAGGAGTGAAGGGAGTTCGAGCGACCGAACTGGTCATTAGGGTACTTTTGCATTTTCAAAAGTAGAATTGAAGGATTTGGTATAGGCCTACACTACATTTTCAGGAAAAAAACTGTACGTTTTCAAAATATCTGGGGTCAACTGCCCCCCCCCCCTGGTGCGTACGGCCATGGTCTGTTTTTTTTTTAATTTCCCCATTTTTATTCCTTTCCTTTTCTTTTCCCTTTTTCTTCCTTTTCTCTTCTTCTTCCCTTTTCCTTTTTTCTTTTTCTTTCCTTTCCTTTCTTTTCTTTTCTTTCCCCTTTTTCTTTTTTTCCCTGGAGCCCGTCAGGGGGGCACTCTGCCCCCCCCCTGCCCCCCCATAGGTACGCCAGTGCCCCCCCCCCCCCCCACTGAGCGACTTTTCGGCCGGCGCGATTTTTAAACTTTCGGGAGCAAAAAAAAAAAAAAAAGTTGGGCCCCCTTCCCTAAGAAATCCTGGATCCGCGCCGGGTGCAAGTTCCCTATAAGAAAGAACCTATATTAATCAATCTGTGTAATGTAGGAAATTGGGTCCGGAATTTCTGATCAAATAAAGAGCGGGAACATGGCGAGAGAGGGAAAGACAGAAAAATAAGTTCTTAATAACAGGATGAACATTCGCAGTATTTGAATGAATATTCTATATAAACTGAGTAATGATTTTTAGTTGCTGCACACGTTCATTGTCAGCTCTAATTAGCACTGATGCCCATAACATTGAAATCAACTTTTGTTTAATACCTTGTTTACACGAATTCACAGGTCAGTTCCTGTGAATATTATTTTAGATTTACAATTCAAATTCTGAGAACATAAAATATAAACTTTGTCTATCAAGAATAAATCACAATCATTTCATGGAAATAAATGTCCAACTTGATGGGCAACAGTGGAGTATATTTAGGTTCTCTCCATTTTCATATACTGCTAGTAGTTTTCGAGTCTCATTATTGTATTCTTTGATATGGGTGATATCCTGAAATGAGCAGCGTGGTTTTTCTTTGCTTTTGTTTTGTACAAGACTTTATTTTGCTTTTCACACAAATTGTATGTATGAATGTTCTGTTAAAGTTTTCAGTTGTAATATCCGATTTTATTTTTGTTAACTAACTATATTTTTTATTTTTCTGAATACAGGGGTAAACTAGTTCATCATGGCGCCACGTGTTGTGTGCATCATCGCAACGTTGGCTCTGATTGGCTGCATGTTTCAAGGAGCATGCGCAGTAGACCGTGTCTATTACATCGCAGCGGTGGAGGAGGAGTGGGACTATGCGCCCAGTGGGATGAATAACATAACAGGAGCTGCATTCCAGCCAAATACGTAAGTAAACCCCCCAAAATGGTGGTAAATGGTTTTGCGTTCAGTTATTAAAGAGAAATTAATATCAAACGTAAAGCATACATTTTCAACCAATACTGCTTATAAAAGTTTCTTTAATTTTCCAAACTATTTAGATAATTTATATAAAACCTGTACCTTATTTGAATACTAAACAACGATAGACCGTCGCATAGAAAATCTAGCTTTTAGCCACGCCTTGACACAGTGTCTCAAATTCAAATGAGATTTCTCAGTGATGATTGTGATTCTAGGCATGTTTATTTTGATATTCATATAGGTCAACACGGCACTTCTTCTGTGTAATCAAAAATACATTCGATAATCCTTTTTTTTCTGGAATGATCAGTTTCATTATCCGATTGTCTTTTACCATGGATATATCGTTAGTATATCCAGGCTTTCATTGCTTTCACGTATACTTCCAAAATCAAAACTTAGAATGATAGTTTTTTTAAAGCCTTCTGCTAATTGGGCATGTTGTTTAGGACTAAATTAACTGTTAACTTTGCATAATTATATTAATTCATGGAAAATATAACGAGGTATTTTTTAATTTGATTATCGAAACTCTAGACATTAAAAGTAGTCCTGGGCAAGAAAATACAAAACTAAAGATACGTCATTATCTGTCCCCAAGTAACTGCAAACTTTCTATATACAAACAAATGAAAATCCGTTCTTTACTTTGAGATCGTCAAAACTGTGCTAGACCTTTAAAGGAGTCCCGGTCAAAAAGAAGGAAAATAAAACCACAGGGGCGATTATATTGTCAGATGAATCATGCTTCCTCGAAGCAGGCTGATCGCAGCTTTCAGATGTTAACAGGTGTATGTGAATCATAAGAGATGAGAGATAATGAAGGTCTAATCTTCAGAGCTTGCCCTGTCATTTACACGATGGATTAGATGCAGCACATGCGATTAAAGGATTAGGTCAACTATATAATGTATCCTAGCCGTAGCATGTGGCAGGAGAGTTGTGAGGCCTTGCTTTACCAAAGTGAAATGGAACTTAGATGATAAACGTGTAATATCAATTAAAGTACGAATGCTAATGAATATCATGAGACCAACATAACGCTTTAAGCCCCATTCAATTAGTATGCAGATATAACAAATATATGTCTACATTGAGTCGTTTTCTTTTTGGGATAATTGGTGTAAATTGTTTGACGATGTAAAGTGTTATTTATTTTTGAACAAAAAGAACTGTAAACACGTCAATGTCTTCAATATGAGGGTAGATCCATATACATATTTTTTCTTCCTAAGATGAGAATAAATATATGTTACAAGATTTTCCTACCCAAAGTAGATTAATGTATTATGTTGTGGGGTTCACGACAACACACGACGCATACAATTCTAGACAAATTATTTATATCATACAGGGCTAAGTACCTTTCGGCCATTTTCACAATTTCAAGTAAAATGCAAACTAGCTTATCCTCTTATAATTATGTGCGATCTTAAAAACTATATTACTAAAGCATTTTAATGCCATAACATAATTATGAGGTCATACTATTGGGGTGTTGGCCAGTGTCATATATTTTCTTAGTTCTAAAACTTATGGACTCATCCCTCTCTTGAAAATTTGATATAGACGTGGAACTTTCGCTAAAAACAAACAAACAAACAATCAAGCAAACAACAGAGTTGTTGTGAAAATGTGTTCATCTTGTGACCTCTTTAAAACCCATGTACAGTTGTGATAGCAATACAAAAAGAAATCGGAAAACAAATGTTACTTGTCTCATGTTGTAATCCTTGAATCAACACATAAATGTACGAATAGATGTAATAGTCTATCCATGATTTCCGGTGAATTGCAGTTTAAATACACTGTTGGTCATTATGGAGTGATTTTGACAATGATTTATTCCTAATAGATCTAGATCATAGTATACATTCTCAATTTTTGTTGAATAATAATTGTGAGTGTTTGTTTTGCGTGACTTATAAAGCATGTCTATGCTACTTTGCTAATCAAGTAGAGGACCTACGTCCTTAATTCATAACTAACCGTGATGAGGATTAATGCCTCATAAACTTGAACTCATATAGCACATCGACACGGTTTTGATTATGTGGGCTCACATTAATGAGGCCATTGCTTAGCCACTGTACGCCACCACCCCCACAAATACAAAAAAACAAAGAAAAAGCAATGAAATATTGATAATTTATTGCATTTTTTAATTTTGTTGGGTGTATTTGTGGAGGCGGTGACGTACCCTAGCCCCTGTTGCGTACAGTCATGATTCAGTGGCTAAGCAATGGCCTCGTTACTGTGAGGCCCCCAAATTAAAACCGTGTCGATTAGCTATATTAGTGCCCTTTTGTGAGGCATTAACCCATTGCTTACGGGAACCTGGTGGTCCCTGTGTTAAGCCTATGGGAATAAGATAATTCAGTAGTCAAAGGGTTAATCCTCATTACTGTCAGTTATTACTTAAGGACGTAGGTCTCCTAGTTGATTTAAATAGCATAGTAGCACACACATGTTTAAGCAGTCACGCAAAACAAACACTCGCAAATTATTATTCAATAAAATCTACTATCATTTAGATCTATTAGAAATAAATCATTGTCAAAATCATTTCATAGATTGGGGTAAAATAATTATTCCTCCTTTATGACCAACAGTGAATTTGCAAAGAGTCCAAGGATAGTGTTTAGATTAGTTTCTACCTCTCATTTCATTACTATTTCACTTGAGAAGGAAAAAACTTCAAACCGTCTTCGTATCTCTAGTTTTTGCCCATGTTTTATCTACACTGAAATAAATTTGAGGGCTTAACACAAATGTAGATGACCTGTAAGCCCGATAGCCCCTCGGATAGGACTCAGATTATAGAAATGTATTTTCTTTCCTTCTCTTATAGTGAAGAAACGGACAAGATGGTCCGTAGCGCAACACGCATCGGTCGCGTTTACAAGAAGGCTCTGTTTCGTGAATACACCGATGCTACCTTTACCGAGCGGTCACCTCGACCGGTCTGGCTAGGCATGATGGGACCGGTCATTAAGGCAGAGGTTGGAGACAAGGTCATCGTTCACTTCCGGAATATGGCTTCTCGTCCATACTCTATTAATCCCGGAGGTCTGGGGTATACTAAATCTGCAGAAGGTATGTAATTTATTTTGTACTTTGCTCGGGTATTACTACCCCTTCACCTCCCTCCTCCCTCTCAAAAAGGGGGGGGGAATATAAAAAATAGTAATCATAAAGAGTTGATAAGAAATAATTAATCTGAATGTATGTAGCATTAATGTGAAATGTTTTTTCTTGGCGCATTATCGGTATTATTGTTATTATCCCTGTCATCAGCTAATCTCGTAATGAATGTGTGCACCATATACACTCCCTGTCAAGTTTTCTCTACCAAGACCCGGTCGTATGCAGCTCTCACCGTGACCATTGACTCTCACGGTGAACATATAGTCACGGCAAGACCAAATGGTCACCATGAGAGCAAACGACAGAGCCATCACCAGAACATTTTTTGTTGTCCCATTCCATTTGGTGAATACGCTTCGTTTACGCAAGAGATACTACTACGCTTCGGCGAGTGGGGGGGGGGGGACAACTTGGATTGCATGAAGCTGTGTAGACCCAGCCGTCTTTATTACAGTATGTCTCTCCAACTAAGCGATCTTTCCCTACCTGCTGCCATCTTCGGCCGTTATTGGAGAGATAGTTAAAAATCCTACTTTAAATTGAAAAAACTATAGTACATGTAGAATTGTATTGTTACAAGGCTTATTTCTTTTAATAAGCCTTCTTCGACAAATGACTTTTTTAAAGGAAAATCTGATTGATTTGTTGGTGTTGTTTTTTTGTTTTGCTTTTTTTTAATGATTATATTCAAATTGAAAATTGACCAAAGCATTCATCATGGTACTGACCCTTATCCCAAACAGGTGCACTGTACAATGATGGTACCTCTGGGAACCAGAAAGCAGATGACACCGTGCAGCCGAATACCACATTCATCTATCGCTGGAACACCGGGAAAGCAGGGCCTAAGCAGCAGCAAACTGAGAATTGTATTGGATGGCAATACACCTCACATCGCTTCCCATCTCAAGACCAGAACGCTGGGCTGGTTGGTGTCACGATCATTTGCAAACAAGGTGTGGATTTGTTTCATATTCGTCAGGGTAGTTAATTTCAACTCTTCAGGACAATTAACAAAACTTTCGAAAATCAAAATATACAATTTGTCCTCTTTTTGTTCCTCCTAAATGCCTTAACTTGAGCCTAGACTTAAATTAAAACCATGCTAACTAATGCTCATCGAGACCTGGCATAAATATTACAATGTTAGTTAATTGATTGTAGTATATAACTTCACAACATATTAGTTCATACTCTGACGGCAGCCTGTCTCTCTTAATTTCGTTTGACATGCAGACATGACTGACAGACATGAGCGCTACAAAGGAACTCATTAATAGTATCATTAACTTCATTATACGAGGGAAACTTCTTTTTTCAGGGATACTCATATAGGAGTGTATATTTGAGCGCTATACAAGAATCCAATATCATTATCATTATTATTAGTAGTAGAATATCTTTTGCAAGTTACTCATCCTGCTCAAATTATGTGTTGTTTTTGTTCCTTTTATTTTTTAAGGATTCTTGGCTAGTACTGACAAAGATATAGTTCTGAACTACGGTCATATCGATGAAAACCAGAGCTGGTATATTGATGAGAACATCAGGACATATGCATCAGGAGTTACACCAGCTATGAAAGGTATCATATCAGGGGTGTTTCACAAAGATCCTAAGTTGAATTTATCTTTAAGTTGGACTTAAAAATTATGGAAAGCTGTAAGCATCTTTGAAAAAATTATTTTAAAAGGCATAATTGTGAATCCAAATCATTCATATTTGTTTATTATAAAGGAGATTTCATGTTCTTCATTTGGAATTCATGAAAAATCTAAAATACTTGAAATGTTGCTTTTGTTTATATTTTATTTTAAGGCTACAAAATAATGGCTCTCCATAATGTTTTAGTCCAACTTAGAGTTAAATTCGACTTAGGATCTTTTTGAAACACCCCCCATATCTCTTCTAGTGACTTCCCATAAAGATATGAAGATGACAGAATGAGACATGAGGTGTGAATAAGTTCAACGCATGTTGACATGATCAAAGCAACGATGATCTTCCATTATCCATACTCATTAATAAAACACAACAGTTTCTTCTTTGCATCATTTCAAAATGATCAGTTATAATAGTAGTTTATTCTGTTCAGACCCAGAATGACGTTAACTTCGTGTTTGTATTTGAATAACGCCCTTTTGGCTCATAACACATGTTTCACGAAGTTGGTAGTCGTTAGAAATGTTACATGTAGGTTAACTTTTGTATACCGAGAATATCTGAGTATTATGTCGCTCCAATTGTCACACATTTTGTGTGGTGACGCAGAGGGCTATTGCCCTATGCTGATTTTTTTTAAAATTAAGTCTTTGTGTTCTTGTTGATGATTCTTTTATCTTCCATTTCTTTGTTTTAGACTCCAAAGAATTCATAGGAAGCAATTTGATGTACGCCGTCAACGGATATGCGTACGGTAACCTGCCTGGTCTGGAGGTGTGCCAAGGCGATCAGATCAGATGGTTCATATTCAACTTCGGAGGAGAGACGGGTATCCATAGCGTGTTCTTCAATGGGAATCCGCTGGTATGTAAGATAGTAGTACTTTATGATATTTAATTTGTTAGTATAATATTTTCTTTACTATTGTTGGATTTATCACCAGTAAGTCAACACAATAACATTGATGATGAATGATGATAATTAATGGGTTGATACTACATCAGTACTATTATGACATTCTTTTTTGAAAGTCTTTCTGATCGTAATCTTGAGTGACTCCAAGCGTTGATTATAATTCCATGATTGGTCAATATATTTGCTCGTTTAGGAACTTGATGGAAAGAGAGCAGACAACATCCCCATCATCCCTGGCCCAGTGAATGTGGTAACCATGGAAGCCATGAACCCTGGGGTGTGGCTTCTATCATCTCTTTCTACAACTGATGCTTTAAGTGAGTATATCGATACCATATGAGGAGAGAAAGAGGGTGAAAGAGAGACGGGAGAGAGAGAGACGGATGAGAGTTAGGCGGGAGAGAGTGGAGAGGGGCGGTAGAGACAGACAAGATGGATGGGAGAAAGTGAGACGGGAGAGGGAGGGAGAGACAGAAAAGATGGAGGACGGAAGAAAGAATGATGGGAACAGGGAGTGATACAGGGGGAAGAGCGAGAGATAGAGAGAGAGGGGGGCGGGGCGGAGGGGGATTGTGGCACTTTACCGACCGAGAAGGTTTAAATTCACAACCTAACATCCTTAGACGAAGATTCTGTATTGAAATATGTAAAAATAGAAATCAGGAAAGGGGTAAAGAACGGAAAGCAAACGCCAAACAAAACGAAAAGATAACTTAACAAAGAAACTGTTGAGGTTCATTAGAACATTTTACTGAATTCTATCGATTTGTAAGTTTTGAATTTGAAATAAATCGACGAATTAGGCCAAAAAAGGAATCATCGCGCAAAGGTTAAAAACTTGATATTTAGTGACTTGTGATGCACGTTTTCAATTTTATTTCAGCACTTGTGGAATATAACAAAACAGGATAGAACCCAAATATAATATAGGTATGCCACTGATCGTCGCAGACTCGAAGCTGTGTTTATCATTGATCTTTACCTAGAGACGACTGGTGTGCGTTAATTTTCACGTAATCTTAATAAAACTATCTAAGTTATATAATTTCAAGTTGACCATTTATTATTCCAATGTTCTCTAATTACTCCTGTCCAACCTTGTCAACCCTGTGTATTATTCAGATGGTGGCAGTGCCTTGTACAATGTTCGATCAGACTGTGGTACGACTGGAGGATCCGGTGGTGGTACGACCGGAGGATCCGGTGGTGGTACGACCGGAGGATCCGGCGGTGGTACTGCCTCTGGGAAGGTGGTAGAGCACTTCATCGCCATTCAAGAAGTGGACTGGAACTACGCCCCCTTTGCCAGGTAACACAGGCTCTTACCTTATATGATAACACAATGTTCGAGATGAGAATAACAATCAGGAATATGACCCTTTGACCTACGGATAATATGATGATGTTGAAGCCAAGAACATAAAAAGGTTGGCCATTGTCATGATTGTTTAAAATTCTGGTTAGAGAACTTCACCATGTCTCTATCACCTAGCTGTATGAATTATTCAATAGAGCATATAAATTGATGAAATCCCTTTTTCTTTCACCTCCCTTTAATACAAAAACCATTGGTCAGTTATTCCTTCGTTTTCTAGGATTTTGGGCGGAACGACAATGCAGATTTTACATTTGTTTATCAATGTCATTTCCTAAGCACTATGATTGCCCCACCAATATCATTGAGGAATAAATTGGGTTGGTGGCTCACGTTTGTGTTCTGACTCATAACGAGGCAACTGCCTCTTCCCGTTTGTTCACCTTTATAAATGTGTTATGATCCTAAAGGATACCAACATCAGTAGTTCCTACAAGAAAGTATTAAGCACATTTTCGTTTCTACTTTTTGACCTCACCAGTAAATCACCCACTGGATCTGGGCCCATCTTCCGTAAGGCCATGTTCGTCGGATACACGGATGCCACATACCAGAGGTTTAATGTGCGTAGCCAAGACGAACAGTACATGGGGTTGATAGGTCCAATTATCAGAGCGGAAGTAGGGGATAACATCCGGGTCACGCTCATGAATGGTGCCACCAGGGCTTACAACATACATCCGAATAACGTCATGTACACCAAGGCGAACGAAGGCTATCCTTATGCAGATGGGATCCCAGGTATGAATCTATCGACAATATTTCAATACTTAGATGATCCTTGTATGTCGGCTTGCATGGTGATGTAGATATACAGTAGGCTTGCGGGTGCAAGAGTCATCCTCTCCAAGCACTATAGTTCTCCTTAGAACTATAAGCTAAGAAAGATAACAAACAGTCCTTTTCAGGACTATACACCCCCAATAAAGATTACCGAGTCAGAGTCCTTTTCAGGACTCCTCAACCCTCTCTCTCTCTCTCTCTCTCTCTCACATGGTGCACCCGCAAGCCTACTGTATATTTCAATACTTATAATTATGATTGTTACCAGTTTGGTGAGACATTGAAGTGACAAATGGTTTATGTATTAAACACAGCATTACACCTATAATAACAACATTACACCGTTCTGTTACACATTTTCATCCAAAGTTGTATACTGCTCAGGTAAAGAAGGCAAAGAGGGTCTACTCATAATTATATTAATTAAAGTTCACCAGATTATCGATGGATATCATTATGTATTCCTCGTGTAGCTTTAGAAGGAAAACTAATAATGAAAATAGCAACACAAGAAAAGTTATGTTTGTTATATAAGTGTTCATGTTTTAATCCAGGCTGTTGATGTTATCGTAGGCGTAGTTGCCTACAAATCAAGGTAAACTTAGCAGCTGCATTAGAGTGACATCAAAAATTATCTTTAATACAAATACTTCATTTAAATTGACTAAGAAATCGGTTTTCATCCATTCTAATGACTATAACAACGAAATTGTGCCACAATCTCTGCTTATCAATCTAATATTTTAAGCGAATCAAGTATCCGGTGACTCTGTTGCCCCTGGGGGAACATACACCTACAATTGGACTATTCCATCTTCCTACGGTCCTACTGCAAGTGATCCAGACTGTATCACTGGAATCTACTACTCTACGGCGGGGGGTGATCGCGACCTCCACGCTGGGTTGGTGGGACCACTCATCGTCTGTAAACCAGGCAAATTGAGCAGTAATGGAACACAGGTGAGTTTTCTTCCCCTAACTTTAATAAAGATATAAACCGGTAATGGTTAAATTGCGGTTCAAGGGTTTTGGGTGCAAAATATCCATTCAATATGGTTTAAATATTGCCTTCAGAAGTTTAGATTGCAATTACTCTGCCTAAATTCGAAAAAAAAAGCAGAAATATATATGCCCAAATGTTCGATGTTGAAGTGCATTCGCGATATCTATCCATGCCGGATCGATATGATAATTTACCAAATATATCAATAAGGCGGTTTTCCCGGCAAAGTTTGTATCATCACGTATTATTCAAAACATATTCTTTCAAATGATTGATATATATGAGCTCCCATATCAATTATTGAGAGGGAGGCGTTTCCAAAACTGGTCTATACCTTTAAGTAGTTGTCTCATCTCATCTGACACGATCATGATAATGTAGCAGGATATATCATCATTTCCCTGAAAGACTTCTAATAACTGTTATATAAATCCGCACTTTACAACTGTAAATATTAATGACGATAATATGATTCCTGTATTATATCACCGACAGGAGAATGCTAATCATGAACACAAAATCTGAATACTACTTTTGTATACCCATATTTTTTGTCTTTCTAAATTGTATGTAATGATGATGTAATAAAGTATATCTTCCTCCCCGCCGGAATCTCGCTCTCTCTCTCTCTCTCTCTCTCTCTCTCGCTAAATCTCTCTCTCTCTCTCTCTCTCTCTCTCTCTTAGCCTCTGTCTTTCCAATTCTGTTTCTCTCTCACTTTCTATGTTTCTCCTCTTTTTCGTTCTTTCTTTCTTTCTCCAACTCTGCACATGTTTTTTTTTTCTCTCTCTTTCTATTCTCTCAACTTCTACTTTTCATCTACGCCCTCTCTCTCTCTCTCTCTCTCTCTCTCTCACTCTCTCTCTCTCTCTCTCTCTCTTCTCCCCCTCTCTCTCTCTCCCTTTCATTTTCTCAATTGTCTCTCTTACTCTCTCTCCCCTCTCTCTCTCTCTCTCTCTCTCTCTCTCTTTTTCCATTTCTCAATTGTCTATTTAACTCTCCCCCTCTCTCTCTCTTCCTCCATCTCTCTCTCTCTCTCTCTCTCTCTCTATCTATCTATCTCTCTTCCATCTCTATTCATTTACGTTTAAATAAACCATTACTTATCTTCATTCTCTCGTTAACAGGCTGGTGTAGACCAGGAGGTCGTAACACTCATTCTGTCCATGAACGAGGAGAGAAGCTGGTACTGGCCTCGTAATCGAAATGTCCGCTACAACTCAGACTTTCCTGTCGAGGAATTGAGAAGTAAGCAATTAGATAATGTGCTCATAATGACCCTCTTCCGATGAATATCAATTGTTGTAATGAGCACTTAATGCAAACAGAATATGAAGAAAAACTTTTCCGTTTTCACTTTTGTTTCGTGTGTTTGCTTGTAGACCACAACATTTAAGGGAAAACAAATAATTTTCAAAATTATGAGAAGACTCACTACTCAGAAGGTTTCTAAACTGTATATAACTGGTTCCACGATTATATTCATGAATAACGCTGAATGTTGATTCTAAGCATTTTTCATGATTGTATCCAGAATTAAAACAACGATAATGTTAAATGACGGTCCCTAGATGTATCTTAATCTATCGTTTTTGGTAGACGTTTGAAACAAATACAAAAGTTCTCTTAAATAAAAGTAAAGAAAATGTTTATTTGATAATAATCAGAAACCATCACATTCAACCAATGTATGTCTGTGCGTTATTGCTAATTTCTAACCCCCTTCCTCTACGGGACAGCTATCAACGGTTACGTGAGCGAGAACCTCCCAACCCTTGGTCTATGCGTGGGTGATCATGTCCGATGGCATGCACCTTGTATAGGAAACGAGGAGACATACATGGGTCTTCACATCCCCTACCAGACCTTCGAGTACAAAGGTCGACGGGCCAACACGTTGCCATTGGTTCCGGGTCAAACGGAAGAAGTTGATTTCACAGTTGGAAGTCCAGGTGAGACATGATTAGTATGTTTGATACGTGGTGAACTCTTGAGAGGTTTTGTCCGAGCCTTCTCCATCCCACACCTATACACCACCAGCAACACGACAACCACCATCATCATCACTCCAACACACAATCAGATCAGCACCGTGACCACCACCACCACATCTCTCTCTCTCTCTCTTTCTCTCTCCGTCCATTTGCAATAGACCAGTTCACGGTTAGCACATGGCTGCAATGACCCCGAATATCCACAGATCTTCAAAACATGAAAAAGCCCCACTTTGTACATTTTGAAATAATCACTCCTACAGCGATGGAGATGCTACATACTTAGCCTTTGTTTCCCCTTTTCAAACAATACTTCCACCTGTGTATAATGGAGTGCTCTGCTTGTGCATAAATGAATAATGATAACATAACTTTTATGAGCACGTATCCAGTATTCCATCTCCGTGTATTTCACAATTTGTTCTGCAATGACCTTTATATGTTTATGGTCAGACGACTGCAACAGTGAACTGGCTTATAATCATGATATTTGCAATCTAGCATAGGAGAAATCTTGATTGTGATTCAATGATGTCCGAGTCATTGGATGTACCGTGTTTTTCAGTATAATATGTAAGATGTCTCTGGTATAATGCATCTACACTGTGAAAAGGTTGGGCAATATTTTTCCAACACTTTGCCCAACGTTGTTCCAATAGTCAATTTATTGGTAAACGTAAGTTGTGTGTTTATTATAAGTTTTGGTAAATAATTGTTTAGTCAGAATATGGTGCGCTTAGAGACACCAGTATTGAGCGCCTTATAAATATTGTGTATTATCATTATTATTAAGTACCCTATTTCACACGTGCATAAATGCTTCGTATTTTGTCCAAAATGTGGGCAAAGATATGACATTTCAACTGCCCGACTACGGTAGCCCACTTGTTGGGAAAATATTGACCAGCTGTTGGGCAAAATACGAAACAATTATGTACCTACTTACGTTTACCAAACCACTGAGCAAAATATTGCCCAATAGATGGTAGGGTTGACTATTGGCACACCGTTGGGCGAAGTGTTGGAAATTATTGCAAACCTTTTCACAGTATACATGAAACGTAACTTTTCCGTGTACTATTACGTAGAAGAAAATATCATGAAGTTTTTCCTAGCCCAATTCATCGATTGATAAAACACTTCAATGATGGCTGATATCTAACTATGATCGAATCCCTTGGTATAGGCACCTGGATCATCAACGGTAACGTCTACAACTATGACCTTGAGGTGAACTACACTGTATCAGATTGCTACAGGACTCTGGACTCTCAGAAAGCCATGAAGAAGGAGAGGACTATCTTCCTAGCTGCCGAGGAGGTCATCTGGGACTTCTCACCCACGGAGTACGACTACATCAGGAATCAGAGCCTGTCTGATCCCAATAGGTATGCTGCTATTTAACTCGTTAAACGAAGTTGTACAAGGAGCGTATCGTTTGTCGATCCTCGAGGATGAACTTTAACTCCCAAATTGAGAAAATGATATTAATGTGTATTCTTTTTTTCTTCCCATCCTGTTTAAATGTGTATCCTTATCTTAAAGCTTCATTGCCATTAGTATTTCGTTTTAATTTTGATTATATTCAGATTGCCACAGTTGTTCGCCTGATAAGCTTTTTAATTAATGTGTACACTTTTGTACTTTAAAGTGTTATGGAAATTACAATTAACTAATGAACCTTTAAACAAATATGGCAGGTAAAGGCAGATAATAAAACACAAATTATCCCTTCTGTGTTAGTATTTAAAAATATTCAAAAAACGTGAACTTTAAGAAAACTATGGACGAATTATTTATTGATAGACACATTAAACAAGTTTCACAACATGATTACAGCATGAATGCCAACTCGAGCCTGGTATACCTTTAAACAAGGGAAATCAATATCTGCCTAAATAATCAAATGCATTTATAAATGTAGCATACATTAAAGCTAAAGCAACATTTGATACAGGTCAAACTTTTCCATGTTAACGTCTTTATGGTTTCAAACATATTACTACTTGTCAACATCATAGTCAATGATGAGCATTCAAGTCATTACATTTTCATTCATTAGTATTTCTTGTGTGAATACTTTTTGGGTGAATTTAGTGAAGGATATTACTTCGTGAAAGAAGGCCCCACCTACATCGGCAGACAATACAAGAAGGTTCGTTTCGTACAGTACACCGACGAGACATTTACGACTCCTAAGAAGCGTAGTTACTGGGACCAACATCTTGGTATCATGGGTCCATTCATACGTGCTGAGGTGGACGAGACTGTGAAGATTGTCTTCAGGAATAACGCAACCAGGCAATACTCCGTCAATGCACATAACCTTCCGGGTCAGGTCACGGAGTACATGGGTCAGACCTTCAATGAACCACTTCCTGTTCAACCTGGCGAAACTGCTATTTACAGGTACTAAACACGAATCACACGTCATATACAAACAAAATAATGACAAGAAAAGGTTTTTGGTAAAATTATTAAGTAAACTAGTTTTGTTCAAATAATATTTGTAATGTCCATGAAAGTGTAAAAGACAACAAGAAACCGTGAAAAATTACCCAGGTCAACCGCTGCTACTCTCAATTTATAATCGATTTTTACATTAAAAAAAAACACAATGTTATATATCACATTTGAGCTTTAAGGATTGATGACGGCTTTCCGCAGTAAAAGACGCATTAGTACTAGACAGATTTACCATAATTGTATCATAACACCGTCATTCCCCAATCCAAATAACATAAAACAAAATACCAAACTCTTGCAGATGGACTATGCTAGAAAAAGCTGGCCCGACTGACAGCCAATCAAACTGTGTGGTGTGGCCGTACTACTCCAGCATCGTTACCAAGAAAGACACGAACTCCGGCCTGATCGCACCGTTCATCGTCTGCCGGAAAGGTACCCTCAACAGCCAGGGACAGCGTACGGATGTCGACCACGACTTCGCTCTACTCTACACCATCTTCGACGAGAACGACAACTGGTACTTGGACGATAACATCCGGATGTTTACAACCCAACCCAACCAGGTTGATAAGGAATCAGAAGACTTTGAAGGCAGCAACGATGCATTCAGTGAGTTCAACTGTATACAGGGGCGTAGCGGGCGTACATGTGTCTTCTATCTTGTCCCTCTTTCCCTTTACTCTTTCTCTATTTTCTCGCAATTTCTGTATAAATATTTACTTTTCAACACTCTAGAAGTAGGGGCAGGCTCCTTTCCGAGAGCTCATTTCGCATCAAGGAGAAGGTGGAAAAACAGAGGCATTATAGCGTACCCCAGGGCTTAGTGCCTTTTATTTAGTAATGATACTTCTTTTGATGCCTGACTATATTGAATGCCAATGATGTATTAAAGAAACTACAGTAATAAAACGTGTTTCTATACAGACCATGAAAAAAGAATGCATGCTAAATATGACAAAACAAAATAGAAAAACGTGACTACATGCAATGGAATCAGTGTTGTATCGATCGAAGATGATAACAATCGTTTTACATGTTTAATACAATTTCTGTCCGGTAAAGGATATACGTTTAAAAAAGCTAATCTAATTGATTTATTAATACGAAATTCCCGACTTATCTATTTTCCAGCCATCAACGGTTACATCTTTGGCCATCCGCTCAACATAAGCATGGCGGTTGGTGACAACATCGCATTTTACATCATCGTCGTAGGGGGCGGTGCTGATGTCCATTCGATCAATTTCCATGGCCACACGGTCACAGAGAAGACGCGAGTGATCAAGAATCTTGACAGTGTGGCTACTCTGCCAGGTGAGCTCTTGCATACATTTTCCCGGGGATTCTTGAGATCATTTGTGCTCTGTATAGAAACACGTTTTATTACTGTAGTTTCACGAGGTGTCATTTGCCTGAGTGACGTAGGGCTGTTCAGCGCGGCATCTGACGCACCATATGAGAGAGTAGTCCTATAACAAGTGTGTACAAAATAAACAATGCGAACATTTAGCTGAGCATTCCTATTGTTTAGACTATTGCCTCGACAGATCTGATTTGCGCAGGTGATTACGTAATCGAAATAACGCCTCATGTGCAACGGGTTTCAATGAATGCCATCATTTTACCAAATAATTTCTAAACTTTAACTACTTGTGCAACACATTATGATCTCTCTTTGCTAAATTGTATTTATCATGGGTTTGATAAAGCAAAGGCTTTAAGATTATGTATTTGTTCCTAGTGCAAGATTAATCGATGTTAGAAGGGTTGTCATCAGGACCGGAAATGGTAAATTTTGCCAAGCAATTCAGTTGCAAAAACAGTCCCCTTGTCTAGTGGTGTTTATTGTTTTGTGGCAATCTACCAGTGTGGTACATGAGCGGCCGTGCCAATTGGCACTGATGGCTGATGAAAGATTAAGCCTATAACAAATGATTGAAACGAGGTGGTGTTCATTTTGCAGGAGATTTTATAACGGTTGAGCTGGAGGCGACTAGTCGAGGGACCTGGCTTCTGCACGATGCTGTCAACAAACACTCCGACTTAGGGGCAGAGACTCGATACACTGTGTACGCCAAGAAATCGGGTAAGAATGAAACCTTTTCTTGAAATATCGCATAAAAGAATAAATACTAACTACAAAAGCTAAAAAGAAAAATGGATGAATGAATAAACAACTAACATACAAATGAACCAATGAACAAGTCAATGAAACGGATAAATAAACCAACACACGAACATGTAAATGAAGAAAAAAATAATGTATACAATAATAAAGGACTAAAAACATAATAAATGACTATTGTGACGAAGTAAAACGGTGCATTAATAATCAACCATAACCAATGACCATAACCCATACCAAGAAAAACAGTAATGAAAACAAATATCGACAACAAATAAACATTGCTTTAAGAATACGCTTCGAACTGTTTTACATGCAGCGACTTTTCTGGATTTTCCTCTACAATACTATTCATGGCAATGATTTTGAAGAAAACTAGGTCATGGGTTTCCCTTACCTATATCCTTCATTGTCTTTTGCATTTAAAATTAGTTAATCCGATTATATACATCAATTGTAGGCCTGTTTTAAATGTTGATTCTGATTATACAATTTGTAAGAAATCTGCAGATTTCTGATGCGGACATGATATTTATAACAAATTAGGGCCATAATATGCAAATAAAATAGGTAATATAGCAAAGTGCTTTGACGGCCATTCAGCTTGTAATTTGAAAACCTTATGAAGATGGCGTTATTATTTATGTCCCTGGTGCAGATATCCCATGTGGACCCGAGTGTGCGACAGCGGCAAGGCCTCCGACCGGAGCTGCGGGGAGATTGGAGTCTACAATCTGCTCTTTGGTCGCTGCTCTCATCATAGGGGCGTTGATGTCTTTTGAATGAGTAAAAACTACCTTTTTAATCTGAAAATTTTACCCTGGTGCATAATGCGCTTTACAATAACGATTTTTTTTTTTTTTCAATAATTTTTTTTAAAACCTATTGTTTTTAGTGTAATCTCAAACGTGGAAATGTACGCAGGAAAAACTCTTGCATAAAGAGCGTTAGACAGGGGTGAGATATCAATTAATTTTTTATTAATAAATTTTTCCCTGTCCATTCTTTCTTTCGTTTTATTTTTGTTATTTGATATACTACATGAAAGTCAACGTCAAATTCGATGCAGTTAAAACCGTCATAATATGAACGTATGTTAGATCAAAATAAATCATCCCTATCTGTTGGTCTAATTGGCGTTGAATTCATACATAAAGTCGTTTAAGAAATGCAATGATGGGGTCTTTGAGACTGTGAATTCTTGTAAATTTTAGAAATCCCATTTTGTGTAGGGGTGTACTCCATAATTAGAGTGTTATTGTGTCTATCAATAAATGGGTGTGTGTTCATATATTATAGAGAAGTATCATCCTTTTTAGACTGACTTCATTTTATATACTAGTATAGAGTCCAGATAGACAGTCAAGAAAAAATAGACTAATGTACATTTCAAATGTAATCTCTCTTTGAAGAGTTGAATTATTCGGTAGACTATAAACTCACTTACTTTTATATGGTGTATAGTCATAGTTTATGTCTTCTGAGATTTTTCTGCTGTCATAGAATTTGTATATTTTTGGTGATTTTTATATAGCTTGTAGATTACAAGTTTAAAACCATATTAGACTAGTTTGACCATAATTTATTATGTTATAAGAATATTTGTATACGTTAAGAGCAATCTTAGTTGTAGCTTAAATATCAATTCATGAATTTTATTTCCATTGTGTCGAATTATGCCTTTCGAAACATGAAACCTAAGACCGTAAGCTTCAAATCAAATGCTTTTACTGTTTCAGTTGTCATTAACTGTATTAAATCCAACAAATACAGTGTACATCAAAATATTGAAAACAAAGAAAGTTAATATTCCATGATCTTTATCAAAATTTACCCGATGGAGCTTAGAAATAAAAGGAAAGTTCTTGTCTGAACATGGATACCTTGTACTTGCATCAGTCACTAATGTCACGCATGACTGAATAAACTTATATTCAAGGTGTCAGATACAATCTCATTATCACAAGTGTTTATCAAGAAAAAGGGGGTGACAAGTTTAGAAGATTCTTAGAGAAGCTTGATAATGTTGGTAGTGTAAATATGGTCCATGTTTGCGGTTTTATTTTCAATAAACAGATGCATCTTTTTCCTGGTACCGTATCCACTTCTTCAGATTCATTTGTCATATTCATGGACAGCCTTAAGCTATATTCACATAATGATGCGGTAAGCCAGCGCGGTAATTTTTGTAACGCGTAAATGGATGGCAAATGCTGAAATGCGCGCAATAAGGGCCTATGCGTATGCAATATTAGATATGTTATAAGATAGGAAATGTGACGCGCATTACACCCTAACGCATCACACACAAAAATCGCCGCGGTTTACCGCTTCATCTGAGCTAGGTTTTAGAGTGAGAACTTGAAATGCGTTACAAAACACGACGCAAGGACTTTCAAGAATTCAAATAATGGGCATGATCAAGTACCTTGTTCTATTCAGGTATAGAAATCGCTTTCTGATTACGTAATGTGCGAACTGCAGCGCACCTGTCAAAGAAGTAATAAACAAGGCTAATTAATTCTAAGTCTTTGCGAACGTTTCTATAAAAAAAATGCGAGAAAGACGGAAACACAAGCTTGATAATAGGATGAATGAATATATTAGGGAGGATCATATAATAGTTAGAGAATGAGATTGAGAAAGAGAAAGAAAGGAGAAAGAGACAGACCGAAAAAAGGGGGAGAGAGAAAGGAAGAGAGTGGCGAGAGAAAGAGAGAGAGAGAGAGAGAGATGGAGAAATAAAAAGAGAAACTCAAGAGCAAGAAACAAAAACACACATTCAAATTTGTGGAGGCAGATATAAAGACAAATTGGGAAAGCATGAGAGGGAGTGAGATAAAAAAAAAAGAGGGAGTAAAAATAAAGATTGATTTCAGAATTTTGAAATTTATTACACAATTTCGTCAAATATTCTATAACTTTCTGCATCTATTCTCCAACCACTCCGTGTATCTGCCAACTATTCTGCAATTATTCTTCCAATACACTTTATGATGTTCTGCTCATTATCATTTTACTAATGTTTTGGTTGCAAGTGGATGTCAGGATCCAGGATTATGTATATACGGGCTCTAGGCGCGTTCGCAGGGGGGGGGGGGGGGGGGGGTTGCACTCCCCGTCCCCCTTCAACTGTTGTTATGTGTGTGTTTTGGAGGAAACCCTCCCCCCCCCCCCTCAATTTAATTTTTTTTTAAATACAAAAAAAAAAATTGTGTTAATGGGTGATCCCAAAAAGCTGACCTCACCGCCCCCCCCCCCCCCCCCTCCCCAACGAAACAAAATATTGATCGGCGAAATTTTCAAATTTTGGGACACAATTTAAAAAAAAAAAATTGCTCTTACTGTCCCCCCCCCCCCCCCCCCCCCCCCCCCCCCCCCCCCCCCCCCCCCCCCCTCCACCGCTTATCCAGCGACTGACTGAGTCGTTGCAAAATTTTTGGGATAAATGTCCTCTCCCCCCCCCCCCGCGCTTATTCAGCGGCTAGCTGAGTCGTTGCGAAATTTTGGGGACCAAAAAAAAAAAAGTATGTCCTCTTACCCCCCCCCCCCCCCCCCCGCCCCTTCCCCGCTTTTTCAGCGGCTGGCAGAGTCGTTGCGAAATTATCTGCCCGATTTAAAAATGTTGACCCTCCCCCCCCCCCCCCCCCCCCCCCCCCCCTTGAAAAAAATCCTCCGTACGCCATTGACGGGCTCACAATTGTAGACCGGTTTACAAACATATTTAAAGGTATGGATATTTCTTTCCTATGGACCTAGGGACTATTTATTACATTAACCTGTTTTATACAACACCTACGTGGATCCCTGTCATTTGATTGGAGGATTGTTGGTCACATGATATTCAATAGATGGTATATTGCACGGTCATGCATTTTTGGTTATATGCGCCGTGCATTTTTGGTTATATGCAGACTGCGTACCTCTCTGCCGTGCGCGCGCGTATCCCTGCGTGTATCTGACGCGAAGGCAATCTGAATGTAATCGAGAAGGCTTGAATCCAACTTGAATTTATCTTTAATATAAGGAGTAAAGCATAATTTGTTGATTAACGTTCTATTAGATCTTCTTCGATGTTGTATAAAACAAATAATGAATGTTTTTCATTCGTTCAATGGTGCGAATATTTTCATTCGTTGAAAGATTAACATTAATTCTATTCAACTCGGCTGACGCCTCGTTGAATAGAATGTTAATCTTTCAACTCATGAAAATATTCGCACTATTGAACTCATAACCATTCATTATTTGTATAATAAATGAACTACAATCCTAGGAATTCAGAATGCATACATTTCTTGTTTATAGGTCGGGCTTGCCTCGGGCAAGCGCACAGGTTGTCAATCTTTGTTTAAAAAGTGTGCATACAATTTGAATATGTTTAAACCTGTCTATTGGTGTGTAATAATTTGACCGTAAAGCAATCATCTCATATTCATGCAATACCACCAGACGAAAGCCTCTTAATTAATGAAATGTTAGGAATGTCATACTCGGTGATTAAATCATTCAACTTACAATAGTCGCTAAATAGCGATGTGATGGCGAAATAATCAACTAACAATGTTTATTGTAACATATTTGTCTCTTATTCATCGCATCGGTGTTGTGACTATGAACACCCCAGTATCTACGTAACACAAACGTTTTTGAAATCCGTCTTACACTTTAATACAAGAACTTTATACAGAACTATTTATAATTTTCAACCTTTTCTAAATTCATAGAATATGACGTTCTCTATTGTAGGTTTATGTGAAACCTGGTTAACATTCTCACTCTTGTGTCTTGTCTAAATTAATGGTTATCTTGTTTCAAACAACAGACCAGGTAAAAATGGTTGTGGTGCGGCCTTTTTACGAACTATAACAAAAGTTTTAAAACATTTTACCTATGTAACGGAGGTTTCGGACAAACATATTTATTTGAGTTGAGGGTACCAGGTGGAAATATATTTGTGTGTGGATACATTGATATTCATTTTTTCATTCCACGTATTACAAAATGCTTGTCGATAATGTATTTACCAACTATGAAAAAGAAAAAAAAACGTTCACCACAGTTTAGACGAAGGTATTATCGTGTCTGATACACTGTTGGTCATAATGGTGGAATATTTATTTTTACCCCAGTTTACGGAAGGATTTTTAAAAATTTATTTATTTCTAATAGATCTAGATAATGGCATACATTCTCAGATTTTATTGAATATTAATTTGCGAGTGTTTGTTTTGCGTGACTGCTAAATCATATGTGTGCTACTATGCTAATTAGCTAGGGAACCTACGTCCTTAAATCATAATTGACAGTTATGAGGATTAATGCCTCACAAAAGGGCACTAATATAGCTGATCGACACGATTTTTATACTGGGGCCTCACAGAACCGAGGCCATTGCTTAGCCCCTGAATCATGACTGTACGCAGTGTTTGCTAGGGTACGCGGCCCCTTCGACATATCCCCCAAAACGATGAAAATGCAATAAATTGTCAAATAATCATTGGATTTTTCCCCGGCCCCCAACATAAAAATTCCTCTGTAGGGCCACGCATTATGGTTCAAGGCATGGCCACACAGAGAATTTTTTCCTGTTGGGGGCCGGGGAAAATGCAATGAATTTTTGACAATTTATTGCATTTTCTTCGTTTTGGAGGATTTGTGGGGGCGGCCGCGTACCCTAGCAAACACTGCGTACAGTCATGATTCAGGGGCTAAGCAATGGCCTCGTTACTGTGAGGCCCCAGTATAAAAATCGTGTCGATCAGCTATATTAGTGCCCTTTTGTGAGCATTAATCCTCATTACTGTCAATTATGATTTAAGGACGTAGGTTCCCTAGCTGATTAGCATAGTAGCACACATATGATTTAACAGTCACGCAAAACAAACACTCGCAAATTAATATTCAATAAAATCTGAGAATGTATGCCATTATCTAGATCTATTAGAAATAAATTAATTTTTAAAATCTTTCCCTAAACTGGGGTAAAAAAAATATTCCACCATTATGACCAACAGTGTATATCAGATCATTTCCCATGTTTGTCTCCACCCCTCATATAATTAAAAGTTTTAAACCACGTAAACATAGTTTTTGGGGTTACGTATAGTGCCTGAATAAACACACATCGAAAGATCTAAAGAAATATCTTGTTGACTGGTGTGTATGTCTCAATGATACTGAATCAAATCACGCATAATTATAATACCTTTATACGAATTTTATCATCAAGATCAAAATATCAAATAATCACAAAGGTATCTTAGATCACGAGATCCTTACTTAAATCAATAAATATATAATGACATACTACCTATATACGAATTTTATTGCCACTGCAAACACCATCAAGATTTAAAAAATAAAATATTACAAAGGTTCGTTGGATCGCGAGATCCTTGCTTAAAATTCAATAAATAGGATAACATACTACCTATAATCGAATTCTCTTTCCACTGCAAAAACCATCAATATCAAATATTAAATAATTAAAAATGTTTCTTGGATCGCGAGATCCCTACTTAAATCAATAAATATGATTACATAAAACCTATATACGAATTTTTTTGCCACTGCAAACATCATCAAGATTTAAAAAAATCAAATAATTACAAAGGTTCCTTGGATCGCGAGATCCTTGCTTAAATCAATAAATAGGATAACATACTACTTTTATACGAATTCTATTTTCACTGCAAACACCATCAATATCAACATATTTCAAATAATCACAAAGGTTCCTTGGATCGCGGGATCCTTACTTAATTCAATACATAGGATAACATACTACCTTTATACGAATTCTATTTCCACTGCAAACAGCATCAAGATCAAAATATCAAATAATTTAAAATGTTCCTTGGATCGCGAGATCCCTACTTAATTCAATAAATAGGATAACATACTACCTTTATACGAATTTATAGCCACTGCAAACATCATCAAGATCAAAATATCAAATAATTATCAACGTCCCTTGGATCGCGAGATCCTTAAAGGGATAGTTTTGTTCTGTTGCAGAGGACGCTACAACAAACAAATTTGTTGTAAGATAATGAAAAACTGAGTGTCAAATTTGAAAGAACATACTATTTAAATCACAAAACCGTCTTTGATTGATCAAAATCGGTTCAGAGACGGCTAAAATATCAATAGATATAACCATTTATAATAATTGTGTATACCATCACAAATATAAGATAATTTGAAATAGCTGTTGACATACTGTGTATGATCGAATTTCTTTGGTTGAAAAAAGGGCGCCTTATACGTTTTATTCCAGCCAATGCCGATGTTGGATTTTTCGTGATGGTTATAATACGCATATCCAAAATGTATTGTTATTTTCAATTAATTAATTAATTAACGGTCACCGTAATTTTTAGAAAGTAGAGCTGAATTGGTATGATCGTATTGGCCAAATTTCACACATTTCGGGGTCTAAAATTACCTTCATAGCAGTTTTAGGTTCTAAAAGGGCACTAGAAATGTCATAGATAAGAATGAGAGCAATAACCATGCACTTTGAAGGCAATTGCGGCCTGAAACAAGAACTCAACTATCCCTTTGACTATTATACTATTTTTATTTATTTACTATTATACGAAATGTATTTCCGCTGCAAACACCATCAATATCAAAATATCAAACAATACCAAA